GACCGATATGAAAAAAAGTCAATAAAACGTCAGAATAATTCGGACAAATAACAGAGGCACCTTCTCAGGCTCCAGCGTTGATCCTTCATATGTGAACAACAAGTAAAATACTTAACACAAATCAACATTTTGTCTGCATTAGGCCTACACCTCAATATTCTCAGATCCTAAGCCATTTCTTATAAGAGACTTTTTTTGGATATAGCATTAACAACACTCCATACCGGAAGAGCAATTTATAACGATATTTCATAGTCATCTTTGATTTATCCATGTTTTAGTACTTGCCAAGCGTCCGAATGATTAAGAATGAAAAAGCGTCTGATCAAAAAGTAAATATCATTAAAAAACAACATGAAATCGGCTAATAGCAGATTTGCTGCTGTAGAACTAACAGATTTAGAGAAACTGGCTGACAAAAAGGATTCAAAACACACTCAAAGATCTGTGAAGAGAAGTGTAAGTTTGTTTCGGGAATTTCTTGATGAAAATAACAAAGACTTTGAGTCACTGGACAAAGTAACTTTGAATGAAAAGCTGAGGTTGTTTTATGCTTCTGTCAGAAGTAAAAAGGGCGAGAATTTAAAAGCAACCACACTACAGTCGTTAAAATATGGACTGTCAAGACATCTAAAAAACAAATGTAAAATTGATGTCATCACTGATGCTCATTTCCGAACGAGTCAAGAGGTATATAAAGCTGTTGTATCAGACTTGAAGAAGAAGGGATTTGGCTGCACACGACATATAAAATCTATTACAGAGGAGGATTTGAAGAAACTTTACAATAACAAGACGATATTCAATGTCAATACACCATATGGTCTCCAAAAGAAAGTTTGGTTCGAATTAATGTTTTATCTATGCAGGGATCGTGAAGTTGTCAGAGAAATGAATAAGTCAACATTTGCCATCGGAACAGATTCTAATGGATTACAGTTCGTATATCCTACTAAAAATGAACATGAGACAGACCTGGCACATCAGTAAGTTCTTTTGTTTCAAAGTGAAAAAATCAACCTGTATTGCTAAACATTGTGTACATTCATGTATTTCATGAAATCCAAGTCAGCATACCTTAAACAAGGATGACTCGATGAAAGTACCAACTACAAAATGCTGTTCATGTGTTGTTTCAAGTATGTTGAAAAATATATTTTAAAGGGTGAAAATATTTATTCTATTAGAAGTATTTATGCATAATTATAGTTGTGTATGTCTTATACAGTCACCTACAAGTCTTTGTTAGTCTTCTACTACCAGGCATAAAAGTTAATTTTACCAAAGCAAAAAACTATATTGTGCTGTAAAATAGATAATAGAATGTGATCAATGTTTGAAATTAGGTGACTGTTATATATATATGACACAGTGCTCCTAAACTCTGATGCATATAAAGTGATGATTAATCATGTAAACATTATTACATGAAAACTTAGAGAATTATTGAACTTGAAATTGCTATGGTTTAAGGTAATCAACTGTTTGAAGATATTCCAGATATTTGTATGTTGTGAAGGACATTAGTCAACAATATTCAGTATTGATATACAGATTATTTCCTCTTCTTCTTGGTACCATGATTAAGATAAGTGTGAAAGATGAAAGCAGTAACATTTTAATCATCAACAATATATAACATGAGTGATGATATTCATATGTTTTGTTAGAGGTGAGTGTGAAAATACTCGGGGTGAACTAGATTTTGGGCAAAACAGCCGAGTGCAAACAGAATTTAGGGCAAAACAACCCAGATTCCTAAACTTGCTAGTTGTCTATTTAAAGACTGTTTTTCAAACAAGATTTAGGAAGAAATTACCAGGATTCATTTTTAATGAAAAGAAATGAAAGTAAAAGTTTTGTGTTTGCAGTTATGATGGTAAGCCAGACAGTACTGTAGAAGAACGTAAAATGTATGCTCGTCCTGGTGACCCGATGTGTCCTGTTGAGTCCTTCAAGAAATACCTCCAAAAGATTCATCCAGATCTACAGGATTTGTGGCAGAGACCTTTAGAATCCTTTGATAGAAGCGGAAATGAGTGGTACTTCAAGTCACCACTTGGGAAAAATTCGCTAAGTTGTTTCATGACAGACCTCTCTAAATTGAGTGGTCTATCATGTGTTTACACCAACTATTCCATTCGTTTGACACCAATTAAAGCCATGGAAAATGCAGGGTTAGTACCAAAGTATATCAAGCCAGAACCCGACTACATGATGGATCATGAATCTAGATCTACACAACCTGATCATGACTACGTGGAGGAGCACCCGTCTAGCTCTACGCAACATGACTTCGTGATAGATCACCAGTCTAGATCTGTGCAACCCGAATTTATGAGTGAACACCCATCTAGGTTGACACAACCTGACTTCATAGAAGATCAACAGTCTAGATGTGCACAACCTGAATTTGTGAGAGAGCACCCATTTAGGTCGACACAACCAGACTACATAGAAGATCACCAGTCTAGATCTCCCATCAGCAGCTATACATGTAATAAGGGTAAACGAAGTGAAGGTAAGAAACATTACGGACTGAATTAATTGCAATGTTATAATTAGCTCAATTGGCTGAAACAGCTGTGTGCACTTCAGGGCCCCAAAAATATGTATGTTTAAGGTATTTTGACCAACCCTAGCTTTTACCTCTGACCCTTACAATTTTGTTTTCCCGAATTGAAATCCCATATTATTATTTAAGGAACCTAAAAATATAATGAAAAATGAATAAAATGTGGTCTGAATAACTATATGTTTGGTGATTTTTGCAATTTCTTGAATTGTACCCACCCCACTCCCTCAAAACAAAGCTGGAAATAAAAAGAAATTCCAAGTGACCAAAGCTACTTTTTGTTACCAGAAACATACCTTTTTCATGGGCCTACGCAACTTTGCAGATTTATGCAGAGTACACACAATTTTTCTGTATAAACCATATAACCCCTAAAGTAATCCTGGTTATTTCTGATATTGTCATTTCATCAATCTTACATTCAAGTGAAATCCAAAGGAAATTATCAACAATTCAAAACCTATGAAAAGCTTTTTGTTTTGTTCTTCATATTTTTTCAGGCACACAATGTGATCCAGACCCACTTTTCAGCGAAAACCAACGGCTGCTAAAAGAGATTCAAGACCTTAAACAAGAACTGTATCTGTACAAAATACAACATCTCAAGAAGGAACCACCTTAATAAGTAACACTTTATTATATCAAACTGAATTTAAGCATCACCAAACCAAACAAAATATGTTTTTATCTCGCCTCTTCAGAAAATAGCAGAGCTTATATATATAGTCTCTGGCGTCATCATCCTGTTTCAATTTAAAGTTTTTGAGCTAGCTTTTTCAAGTAGTGCTAGATCACTACTGTCAAGAGGCTGTTTACTATATTAAAAGGTTGAGGCATTAGCAATGTGCGAACTGTTTTTTTTCATATTTTGGAGGCTAAAAAAGCTGAAGTGGACTTGGTTAAAGTTTTGAGCAATTGTTTTGTGCAGTATAAGATCACCACGCTCAATATGTGGTCAACTTTATTAAGATTGTACGAACACATTTGTATGGAGTGTAAACAATTTGCTGAATCCTATTTTTGTTGGGCCATAATAGCTTAATTAGACTTTGTTAAAGTTTTTGAGCAGGCTTTAGCCTAGGTTCAATATTTTGAAGTCGTTTTCTGCAATGTTATATCACCACACCCAATAGGCTGTTGACCACTGTTGCATACTTTAAAATTGCCATCATGCTGTGAAAACCATATCTAGTTGAAATGGTAACGAAAGATTCCCACTAAGTCACATTTATAATTTATTCTTTCTCCATCCTTCCTGAAATAGTATAAAAGAAATACACTGGGACAACATTTCCTTGACTGCAGTCAGAGATTAAAAGATTGGTCTTGGTCACAGTGACCTACTTTTGGTTCAGGACACTCCACTTTTCCAACAAACTAAGTATATTGATTCTACATGAAAAAGTAAAAAGTAAATGTAGTTTTTCTTGGGTCAGATGTCAATGTTAAGGTTGCAGTACTATATATATAGCTAGTACCATAGAAAGTCCAAGATTTTTCTGATACTGGAAATACAACTAAACATGTACATGCATAAGCTTCCTGTGTTCTATAAATATGGATTCCTGTAGTGTGTTAGTTTGTTTAATTTTACTAAATTTACGATATTTTTCTGCTAGAAGAATTTATATCTCATAAATATATTATTTAATTGTGGTAGTTTTATCTTTCAGCTGGAGGTCCAAGGCCAAAACACAATAGTGGTTGGGGACTGGAGCATCTCTGCTTCACATGTCTTAACAAGAAGCTGAATCAGCTGTTCTAAAATCTAAAGGATGGTGTGTATAAACTAATGTTTATATTACTGCACCATGCCTACCCAGATCAGCTAGCTTGAAGTATGTAATAGAACTTCATTATTCAACATTCCAAGTCACTAATGCTGCTCATTGACACTGGGACGCAGCAATTTGTTACTCTCAATTACAGGAGTTATCCTAGCTGTGTAAGTAGAGTACAAGAATTAACAAGAGATGACCCTTTGAAACAAGGGTCATGATTGTGTTACTTGCAGTAATTTTTACAAGAGATGACATTTTGACACCAGGGTCATTTATGTGTTCCAATAAGTTTTGTATCTGTGAAAGATATTTTGTGTCAGGATTAAAAGAGATAACACTTGAACACCAGGGTCATGAATATGTCACCTACAATAATTTTTGTTGATGTGTGGAGTATGATCATGAGGATTTACAAAAGATATGAGATTTGCAAGACATGACACTTCAAAACAACGGTCATGTTTATGTCACCTACAGCAATTACTGTAGCTGTGTTGAACAATTAAGAGGATTTACAAGAGATTGCTCTTGAAACAAGGGTCATGTATGCGTTCCAATAATTATTGTAGAACTATGTGTTGTAAGGATTACAGGAGTGACACTCAGACAGCAGATTAATATTTATGTTGTTTACTGTATATTATTACATTGATGTTGTTATTGATGTACACGTACATTCATATGTTTATTTCACTATGTGCAATTACTTGTCAGATTATTATTAATGAATAAACAGTAACACAAGGTATGCTGTTGTCCATCCATCTTAACTTGTTCAGAACCACTTCCTTATTTAACAACTTTATGATACTTGATACACATATGAACCATTAAAAGAAAATATGCCTATGGTACTTTTGAAACCCATGTACATCAAGGCATCCTCGATACTCCATGGGGTTTATGCTCACTTACTCCCTGTACCCCTGGAATATACGCCATAGCAAAATCAAGGGCGTAGTGTGTCGCCCTGTTGATGAGATGAGAAGACTAGTTTGATTCGTTGATGTACATAAAAAGAATGTCTCGGGTCGCGTAACAGTAAAATTGACTGGCTTTGAAGTCCGGTGTCGCTACTCTATAATCTTCAAGGAACAGGTTTCAGACTAGCAGTTGGTCAAGTTTTTTTTAACCGAGACCAATCAAATAGCTAGCAGTGTGCCTTCAATTTTGCTATTACATATTCCAGGGGTGGAGAAAGCTCGACAATGACCTTAAGGTTAAGTTCACAGATTGAGGTTAAAGAAAGAAAGTGCTTTTTACCCATAGCAGATCATCTTTATCACTTCTGATTTATAAAATCTCATCCACTCAAGACATATAAATTATAACCATGTCATGTGCCATAGGCCATTTTCAAGGTCCAGAAGGCCATGTGATATTATGCTGTGGTATTACATCTGTTCGTCTGTCCGTCATCTTTTTCAGTTAAAAATCTCTCATTGGATTATTATCATTTGGTGTCTTGCTATACTGAATCCAAACATTATATTTATTCTGGCTCTTGTATCTTGGAACGAATCTGAGAATGGACGAAGTATTGGGAGTGCCGATACACATATATTTCATTATCTCCATCATCACTAAGATGTTCACTGATATAGCCTGGAGTTAATGATAACTGGTAGGTGCCGCACGTATATAGTCTTCAAATATTCCAAATTGAGCTCTGAAAAAGTGAATGAAGATGCATCCATGTGGATTTGTTTCCTTTCAAATTAAAATTGTTAAAACAAAGACAACATTTTCAACTTCCAAACGTTCTGTTTCAGATTCTCTTTCGCGCAGATACCTTATGTAG